TCTGATTGCTTTGCTAGTAGTAGTGGAGTAGTAGTAGTAGTAGTAGTAGTAGTAGTAGTAGTAGTAGTAGTAGTAGTAGTAGTAGTAGTAGTAGTAGTAGTAGTAGTAGTAGTAGTACCACTACTACTACTACTACTACTACTACTACTACTACTACTACTACTACTTGTGAAGCACGCGATCTGGTCTTGCACAAAGTGGCAAACACAGCTGCGCAACTGCTTTATGCTTCGCGAGTTCACTCTCCCAGTCCCTAGGCAACACCGCGTCGTACGACCGACCGCAGGCTACACACCTACTATCTGCCGTGCACACTTGGCACACCTAGATGGTTTTTTCACCCATCTAAACCAATTTCTAGTGATTTGAGTTGTATTTTTACCCGTCTGGTTGTAATTACACCCATCTAGTTGTACTTCGCCTTATTCTCGGGCCCCCACCCCTTCGCTACTTTGTACCGTGCCCAAATACAGGACAAAGCAAACCCCTGCCAAAATTCAAGAACAAGCCCCCTTATGCCCAGGTCAAATCCAAGAGTACGGGCTTCCGGTTGTATTCGGACCTCATATTCTGTCCAAATCCCAAACGCAAAAGCGCAAACTCGCCCCCCACTCCCCGTGTCACCCACGCCGCTCGAACCGGACTCGAAGGATTGGGAGCGCACAGATCTTCTGTGGAATTTTCTCGTGTGCAGCCATCACGTGCAACCCACGCCGTGGCTTGGACCTGTCTGCAAAGACGGGGGTATGTGATATCATCGGTTCTGGAGTCGAGACCTGCAGAGGGTATGGATGACAGAAATTGTGGTCAGCTGTTGCGGTGTCAGTCTGTGAGTTTCTGTTGACGCTGAGATCAGATGTGCACCTGCATTCCGGATGGAACCTGCAATCGCTCTACCAGATCGGCGGCCTAATTGCTGCACTCACACAGTGCTGTCGATCTGAAGAAGCCTCCAAACAGCAAGGAAGAGCTACGCCGTACATGCGGAAGCTCACTTGTTGGCTGGGCGCCCTGCCAGTGCTGCCGCCATCGTAGAGGACAGAAACAGGGTGTACTTGAGCCAGGCCTTTGCAGTAGCCGGTACCAGGCGATAGCTGACCGCCGTAGCTGGAATCAATCACATCAGCACGCAACCTTCATGAAGACTCAAAGACTTGCTCCGCATAAGCAAAACGTTTGGGTTTAGCTTGATGCATCGTCCAGGATATGCTAGACGCCGACGTTGGCCCAATCACTCCTGACACGGTTGCTGCTCGGACGCACCAGCGCGGCTTTCGAAGCGATGCTAGGGAGCCGCCCAACCAGAGTGCCTTTGCACCTGGTCTTCGGAGGTTGCACAGGCCGGCAAGACTCGTCCCCGGTAGAAAGCAGATGCAGCTAACCGTGAAAGACATGCAAACAGACTAATTGCGTCGCATTGGCAAGGCTGCTTACATGCAGATGTTGATCGTGATTTGTCACTCCGATCCGACATCCTCGAACATGGCACGCTTGAGAGAGACTCGGGCGGCATCACGAGGCTTACATCCGGATCTCCCTAGACATCCTCTGGCACTTATGGACGCTCTACTTTATCAAATTGCTATCATTACCCAGTGCAAGGCCTCTTCGAGTGTCGATGAGGCTTGCAACATCCAAAGTTCTACCGGACACGCGTGTTCTTTCCGTTGAATGCCAATTGGTGATCCCAAGTTTCGTCCGCAGTTCAGATCCGGGCATACCGGATACCTAGGCACTGTCCTGAAAGACTCCAGATACTCCAAGCTCCAATGAACTTCACGCCGTGTCAACGACGCAATGGCAGCAATGGCTCCGCTTCAGTTCATCCGAGGCAGCGATTGAACTCGCGGAAGGCCTCGGCAAATCCAAGCATGTCTTCGCATTCAGATTCGGATGGCGCATGACTTCAAGCACCAGTCTCTGGAAACATTGAGTCTCCTGCAGGCCTCCACACCACCGGGCTGGCAGCCAAGGAGCTGAGCAAACTCAAGAAGGCTGGAAACGGGCCGCCACTGAGGTTTCATGGATTTTCATGGCTGCAGCATGGTGAAGAACGCAACAACAGAAGTGACAGGTTGCCGTGTTGCTGATGGCGGACCCATGTGCACTGCCCTTTCGCCAAGTGCTCCGGAAGATTCTTTTGGCTGTTCAATTCACCCGAGCGTCTCTTGCTCGTCTGGGACGGCTGCACGTTGTGAGAAGCAACCACGACCAACACTCCTCTGGTCCGCACCAGCTGAGAATTAGTTTCAGCTTGTGACACGCTGAAGCCAAGAACTGAAACAAGGTACTGGTCTCGCGAGCAGCGCAGCGGAGTGTCATGAAGGGCTGGCGCAATGCGCGTGGCGGCAGCTGCTATGCGCGTCTGTAAAAGCTCTTGCTGGCACGGTTTCATGTATAGTGGCACAGAGCAGGCGCTCTGCACCTTCTGCCTTCTGCCTGGTGCTACCGCGTCAGAGAATGGCCCCAAGTTTGGCAATGCTCATTCCCAGGTATCATTGGGGGTTCATGAAGGCCACGCACCACGTGCTACGGTGTGGCTGGGATGCATTTTGCCATCCGTTGAGAGGACATACAGAGCGAATTTCTGTAGATTCACAAGTCTTTCGTCACCCGGCAAATGGGTCAAACGACCTTAGGTGTATGCTTCTACTGCTCCAAGCTGCTCGCGGATCCGAAGGCTATCGGCATGTGCAGGTGTAGCATGCACACTGGGCCTAACCGGCCTAACCCGGGGCTTTGAACTTGAGCTGCTCATCTCTGAAGACGGTAAAGTCGTTCGCAAGGATCTCAAGATGCAGAATGCCATGAAGCAGGTCAGCAGAAAGAAGCGGCTGCAGGCACTAGTATGCGGTCTGAAGAGCACGTTAGCAAAATGTGAATCCTGCCAGAGGCCGTCATGCTTTGCTGCAGGGCACGGCGGACGTGTAGTGTGAAGCAAGAGGAAGAGGTGGGGCTCCGGTTTTGTCTTGCATGGCTTCTGATGGCATGGACAGAAGAGTTGCAGGGCTGACAGATACAGCAGAAAGCAGCCAAGCAGCGTGTAGAACCCCTGCGAGGAAGAAGGCGACATAGCACTCAACAGACAAATTACGCTGCGAAGTACATCGAAGCAGTCATGACGCAGCACCTGATCTTTTGTTCGACATGAGATTGCACAGCATCGACCCCGAAAGTGGTTTTGATCTTTAGAAAGGTCTTATTAATCCGGCATCCAACCTCAGGGGTCGGCCAATCAGAGAAACATGCTTCAGCCATGGCGGATAGAACGGACACATCTCGTGTGAAAGGGCTCCCTGCATACGGTCTGGCGGGGAGACAACACGACAACATGAAGGTGGGGCGAGATATGAAGGCAGCCACATCCTCGAGATGGGAAACACAACTTATGGTCGCGAAGGCTGCAGATGAGAAGATAAAGTCAAAGGACAAACTACCCCTGTGGGTCACGTTACGCGGAACACATGAAGGTAAACTAAAGACGAGTAATTGAGGAATAGGTAGAGAACACCAAGGAGGCAGGAGCAAACATGAAGCCGGTTGTGTCACACGACCGCTCGCGAGTGTCAGACTCCAGCAATGACGGAAGGGAACATGTGAGGCAGGTTCAGGCATGAACAGATCCGGGACACGCCAGCGGACGCAAGAACTTCTGAGAAGCCAGCGCGAATGGAAGGCAAACAAAGACAAGGCGGGCGACTTCACAACACGAAGATGCCCAAAGTACGATGTTATGCAGCAGATTATGAGAACCTTGCAGTCAACACGTTTTTTTTTGTCAGTTTTGTCCAGAGGCCCCGACAGATGGAGTGCCAGGCCTCGAGTTGCACGTGAGAGGTCGAAGGGAGCTCTCAGATTTCGCTTCAGAGTCGGCATGGTGTGCTTGGATAGGGTCGGCATAGCAAAAGTACAAGCTTGCCAACTTAGCCCAGATGGCGACGCCTCCAAGTTCAGAGGAGGTTGTGGGTTGCGGCCCGAGAGCTGGAGATTTTTCCTCTTCTGAGCGTGAGGGCATCCACTGGATTGTCATGTGTGGTGTCTATGGCAAGTACCCTTGGCGCCCACATATGTTTTTGGCTTCCAGGTACCTGCAGCCTCGATACTACGTGGAGGCCACCGCGTTTCCCTCAGACCCATCGAAGCTTCCTGTTGTCCGCACTTTGCGCATCCCAAACGAAAGCACTGGACCCTTGTTATGAAAGCCGACAAGCGCCGGCTTAGGTGATGATGGTGGCCTTCCCGGACATTGACGGCCAGGAGGTCGCGGACTGGAGTACCAGAATCCAGAATCTGACACTCCTCGCTCGCGGGGTACTGCTGAGACACACTGACACCCTGCCACCTTGTCTATGGAGCCCCGAACGCACAGAAGCTTCCGAGGACAAAGGTCAAGATCGAAAGAGGCCGATGACAGCGGACGAGGCCCCAGAAGAACATCAGCTGCCCCTGCTATCACAAACTTGAAAGGGAGTTTCGTGCCCCTTCGCGCCAGTGAATTGCGCATTAGAGATTTGGGGGGGGATTGCAGACGCTGACGATCTTCAAGAGAATCAGCGACGCGTCGGGCCCCGAGAGCTCTTCTGCAGGACCAGTTCTACGCAGTTCTTGACTTCAGTTGGCTTCTCTCCAAGTTCGAGGGAAGCTTTCTGCGCTTGTGGCCTGCAGGGACGTGAAGCGAATGGGCTTCGACCCGGCTTCGGGCCATCATCCGAAGAGCTTGATCTTGGTCGCTCGGCTCACCACGAGACCCACCACAGCAGAGAAGCTACAGGAATCAGGAAGCAATTCGCTGTGTTTTTCAGTGTCCTGTGTCCCTGCTCGGAGCCCAATGCGCAGACTCACCTGGCCATTCCTCCTCCTCATGTGCGACCGACCATCTCCTTCGGCGCCCAGCGGAGCGAGGACTCTTCAAGCCCTCAGTTGTGGTAGAGTCTGGTAGAGTGTTTGCCACTGACTCTTGGGAGCCCATGAGGTAATTAGGCTATGCCATGCTTGCATTTTCTGCGACTGCGAGAGTCATTGCTGCATTGTCATTGCCGTGACAGATTAGGCATAGTTGTGTGGCAGCATTGCCTCGTCTCGCTCTGAGACATCAGAAGGCCAGGAATCGTGTAACCACGCTTGATTGCAACTCTGCTCGTCCGGCGCTCCTCTCAAGTTGTAGGGGAAGAGGGAAGAGTGGAGGGCATGAATGGTGCAACAAATCTTAGACCAAGGCTTGCGATTATAGCCAAATGTGTGGACTCAGTGATGTTTAAATGGCATCCTTTGAGGCAAGTCTTGGTAGGGTCGTGCCGCCCGGTGGCGCAGCGCAGCCCGCCTGATGAACTATGTCTCAACATGATGACGACAGGACGGGGCCGAGTTATCAAGCCACCGCCCTGCATGTTTGTACGAGAGAGAGAGAGAGAGAGAGAGAGAGAGAGAGAGAGAGATAGAGAGCCATTTTGGCTCAAGTCGACCTGCCGCTTCCCTCGGGGAGCGCTCGGAGATGGCTGCGTGAGCCTGCTGTTGGGATCGGCAGGCTTGCCGGGTGGACGATCTCCTGCGCGGGGGAAGGCTTGAGCCCATACCCGCCACATTTGCCTTCAAGTGGCCCATCCGCGTAGTCGGGGGACCTGCGCTTTGCCTCAGGCCTCAGCCCTCTCTTTCCGATCGAGGCCTTCTTTGCTCTCTTCGAGCCCCTCGCTTTACAGGGGGACATCGGTGTGCAACGGTCCAGGCGGGTGACCGCAGCTGTCCAGAACCTTCGGGACTACCTCTGCAGCCGCGCCTACGGGGTCGGCGTACCTACTCAAGACCTGCCCCTTCGTGACGACAGGTACGTCAAGGGCGTGACTGTGGCGGGGACACCGAGAATAATATCGCCGACCTACGCCCACCAAAGATGCGCCGCACACCTAAGGACGGCACCCGCACGTACCCACGAGCAGCAGGGGGACTTGGAAAGTTTACGGCCGTCTCTCCTCTTTGCCTTCGTAGAGTCGTAGAGAGAGAGAAAGATCCATGTCTTTTACTGAGCCCCCACAAGGCCCCGAAACAGAGGTGCGCCCTTCGGCGCGTGGTGCCTAACTCGCACCCTATGCCCCGGAGAACAGAACAGGAGAGATAGAGAGAGAGAGAGAGACCAGTGCGCGCACGCGTGCGGAGAGGGGTGCAGTGCCCTTCTCTTGACTGTGTGGAAGAAGAGAGAGAAAGAGAAAGAGAGAGCGAGCGAGAGTGTGTGTGTGTGTGTGTGCGCGCGCATCAATCAAGATGAGATGCGTTGAGCATGAATCCTAAACAACCTGGTCCGAGTGGAACTGCTGGAGTGCTGCTAAACGTTGAACAAATCAAGCTGATCACCCTTGCGGCGCGCTATCCGTCTGAATCTTCATGCTTTCCGGAGGATGGACGATATGCAGCAGGCCCCTGCCACATGCCAGGAAGCTTTATCTCGGAAGCCACGGTCTCGAAATTCGAAGGCAAAGAAGCATGCTATGGGCATTCCACCCTAAAAAGCCTGTTCGCAGGTGGAAGCCACCAGGCCTGTGGTGGGGGACATTGACCTGGTGGAGGTCGGCTCCAAAAACCAGTGTCAGATGGGAAGACTGTGTACAAGACCGTGTCAATGGGAGTACATTCATGTGAAGCATAGATTGCTCTGCTGCGCCACTTAATAGAACACTTATGCTTCCGACTTCTGCACTAGGCCCGTGTCCACTTGGCGGCGGCGCAGTATCACAGCAGTCTGGCCAATGGAAAGTGCGGTGCTCTGACCATGCCATCATCCCCAGTCGAGTCGGATAGTGGTTTTGCAACCACTGCATCCTTCAATCGGTATCCACCTTAGTAGTCTAGGCATATAGGTGATTTCAAGCTTCTGTATCTCATGCCTCGGCTGTTGGCTCTTGCAGCTACTTGGCGCCACTCCTACCTTGGATTGCCGCGAGGCTCTTGCCACGTCCACCCGATGCCCCGCGAGTACGTCCTGTGGCGACCTGAACAGTGACAGAACAGATGATATGCACTCTCTTTGTATCTCGTGCCCGGTTTCTGGGAACCCTAGCAACCAAATAATTCTGAAGGCGAGTGCCGGAGCGCGCCCGGTGCAGCAGGCTTCATCTGAAGGGTTGTCTAGCGGCTCAGCTTGCATGCGAAAGTGCATCAGGGGATCTCCCATCATGCATGATGCAGTGCCACAGGCAGCACGAGGTGCCACATGATTGCATCAGAGTGAAACCATTGCCAGGAGACTCGCCTCGCGAGGCCATGGTCGGCACAGACTGTGCGTAGCAACAGCCAGCCGGAGTCCCAAGAGTCCCGTTACTGCATGCCGCATGCGCTCTTGCGGAGGTGTTACCCTAAGGCGTCAAGATGAGCAAATTGGAG